TGCATTCTCCAAACTTCGATAATCACGCAAATTCTCCTTCTTTCCAGTTATGTGACGAGAGCAACCACTTTCAATGTACCATTTATCATCATATTGCTCGTCACACAAAACCTGCAATTAATGAAAGAATTTAGGTACCCAAGGCTGTTTGGGTCCATGGTTATTAGTTTTGAAAACTTTGTGAAATGAAGAACCTAAAACCCAATCACAAGTGAAAGAATCAATTAAGTCGACATCATTAGGTAAAGGAGCAGAAATATAAGTTTTTGAAGGTTTAGGATTGTCACTGACATTCACCTTTTTGTTCTCAGTTTGTTTCTCAACATGTCTATCTTTCGAAACTGATTTCCATGTTTTCGCAGGAATATTTGATTCTTTAGAAGATGAACTTCCATTTGAAGAATCATTCAAATATTTCTCATAAGCTTCTCGAATTTGTTGTTGGGAAAACTTGCGAGATTGAAACATCTTTCCTTGTCCTTCAAGCCAATGGTCGATATTCTTCACATTTGATGAACCCTTTGTGTATGAAACTTTTGAATTCTGCTTCCTAGAAGGATTTGGAAAATTTGGGTTTTGTGGAGTGAAATCAACAGTAGATTTAGGACGAAAATTTTCAAATTGTCGATTTTTAACACTGTTTTCGACATTTGTGTTACATGAAAATCGATTTTGAAAATTCTTTGATTGAGTTGGTGGAGGATGTTGTTGTAAATTTTGATTTTGAGAAAATCTTGGTTGTGAATGAGGAGAAAATCTATTTGTGAAATTTTGATTTTGAAATTTATGTGATGAATGATTGAAATTTTTCGAAAATGATGTAGTGATTTGAGTTTTATCTTTCGAAAATTTAGTTTGTGAACTTGATTCAGACAATGATTGATTCATTTGAGCTGGATTTTTCTGATTGTCTGAATTTAACGAAGACTTTGTCTTAACAGATTTGAACTCTGTCTTTTCAGATGGTTTCTTTGTCAATCAATTTTGTTTCTTTCGAGATGCAAAGGTGTGCTAGAAAATTTTCTTTCGTGCTTGTCTTTTTGAAATTTCATTATCTTTCGAAAATTTGTCAATTTGATCTTTAAATTCTTTTGAATTGATTTTGACAACTTGTTCAGTTTGCTCCTCAATTTGTTTTGGAATTTCGTTTGAAACTTTTTGTTTTTCAATCCATTTTCTTTGAGGTTTTTGTCTTTGAAAAACATACGAATTCTTTGCTAGATTATTTTCGACAGTGCTTTGGTTTGAAAAGAATCCTTCGTCTGATGTGTTCTTGTTATCTTCTTCAACCATTTTGTTGAACTCCGGTTTAATGTTTTCGACATTTCCTTTTGTCACAAACACTTGATTTGGAAAAACAACATCATCTGAGCATTTGAAGTTCGAATACACCACTTGATTAGTTTCGAGATAATGAGCACCCTTTTCAGTCATCACTTTGTCGAATTTTTCAGTGTCACCATACACCTGATCAACAACAATTCGTGGAATTGCTGTTTCTTTCGAATCTTTACTTGTCGATGGTGATTTTTTCGAAACTTCATCATCATTTTCATCATCACTGCTATCAGTTTGACTATCTCTGACACTCACATGATCGAAATAAAAAACTTTCGAAGTTGAGGGTTTGTCAGTGATATTCTTAACCAACGAATCATTACACTTTTCTTTTCCTTTAGACTTAGAGGCAACATTAACGATAGACAACTGAGAACAATCAACATCCTCAAAATCACTAATTTCGCTAATATTATCATAATTATCTTCAATATCAGTAAAATTAGATTGAGAATCAGATGTCGAATTCTCAGTTCTTTTCAAAATTTTAATTTGTTCAGTTTTGGTCAAGGTATCATTTACAATATCAACTAATTTATTTGCATCAAGATATTCGTCAATTTTCACAATTCCATAAGCATATCTATCATTAGGAATTTTATCAAATTCTGCAATTGTTTTCTCACAATCATAAGAAATGTTATCAACCTTCTCTCTCTCGTAAGATACAAAATGTAATAACTTCCTATGTTGTTCCTTGCTTATATCAGATGAATGATGCAAAGCAGTTAATTTCGCATAAAGTCTTTTCGCAGAATTACAATATATGTTCCTTTGTGCTAACAACAGTTTTACTTCACTACTCAGTGAATCCCTATCACACATTATATTTGTAATATGTAACTCTAGACTTTCTACTTTCATTTTCTTGAAATCTAACTGCTTCTGAACCTCTAGTAACTGAGAAGTTGACTTCTTAGCTTCGTTACTAGCGGAGTTAACCAAAGTATCAAAATAAGCAACATTATCATCAAAAGCAATTAGTTCATAATCATATGCACTTAAAGGAATATTAAAAGATTGAAGACTAGAACGTAGCTTTGTTGTCATGGGTGATTTATCTCCTCCTTTGGTCATAAAACAACGACCAGTCACCGCTTCGTTACTTTCTTCCTCATACTTTGCATACATGGCACCATGCGTAGGATTACGCATTTCCTCATCATCCGAACCGGACGACCAAATCTGGTAAGTTCCTTCATCATCATCCTCACCCTTCGCTACCAGAGAAATTCCTTTCGTTTTTGCCCGAACTTCTTCTAAACGCTCCACATAGTATGCTTCGTCCTTGACTTTATTCTTCTTTTCATCTTTCTTACGAAGCATACAATCACTCGCCATATGATTAGCTCCGTGACAGTAGTGGCAATCAGTTCCTGAATCTCCTTTAAGTTTCTTCTCAGCTTTGGATTCATCAGTCTTTGCTTCATTTTTCTCAAACTTTTTATTTTCCTCACCAGCTGACTTTTTAACGAAACTTCCTTTGGCATCACCTTGTTTCATCTTTGGATTAAACGGTTTCTTGAAAAACTTCTTTGCTCGATTGTTCGAGTAAAATGCAACAGCTTCATCGTCCGAATTCACCACAAAACCTTCACTATCAGAATCTTCCTTTTCAACTGACTCTTTCTCATTAACTTTCGACATCAAAGCTAATGGTCCTCCAAGACTCATTTTCGATTCCTCAGCAATTTCATTTACTTCTCCTTCATGAGTTTTTAGTAGATTGTACAAGTCATTAAGTGTCGAAGTATCGAAACTCTGCTGAGTTTTCACCATTAACGTCACATTCCTCCATTCTTTGTGTAAGCCCATGATGAATGTCAAATTTGAACTCCATGGTTGTTCGAGTAATTCCATGGCGATTACATTTATAGATTAATTCGTTCAAACGATCATAGTAATCTTCTATCGATTCACCATCCTTCTGTTTGAAATCTTTCAATTCAATCAAACAACGTTTTACAGAATTGATCTTAGTCTTTTCACTTCCTTGAAACTTTTCTTTGAGATTGTTCCAGATGTCTTTTGCAGTTGTACAGCTTCTGACATAGTTGTACACAACATGAGGCAAAGCATCAGGCAATTCTCTTATACATCTTTTCTCAAGCTTCTTCAGTTTATCAGATCGATCATTAACACTTCAAATTTTAGATGAAGATCCAATTGCTTGAACATTTGGTGAAGGAGTACCATTTCTAGTAATAAATGACCAGAGCTCCTCATCCAGCCCGTTTAAGTAGTCTTGCATGCGATCAGCCCACTGATCATAGTATTCAGGGATGAGCATAGGAATCTTAGTTGAAGATCCTAGCAGATGAGAATAAGATGTCATTGAGTTCAAGTTGAAATTAGCCATGAACATACGGATGAATTTTTCAGAAAAACTTTAGAGTTTTTGGAAACAAATAGCTGAAACGATCAGATATTTCAAACAAAACACTCGATTCAACAAATCAGTTGCAGAATCGAATCACAACTGTAGATCAATAATGATTTTCAAAACAAAAGGCGCGGAAATTTTTGAATCCAGAAATTGATTCAAAAACCTTTTGATTCAGAATGAAAATCAGATCGCAGAGATATGATTCCTGCTCTGATACCAATTGATGATGTATTGAACCGAGTAATGAACGTAGAATCAGAGTAATGAGAATTATGAACACCAAGTGTAAATAAGATCTGGTTTCAGCTCAATTATGTTTCACAGTTACAAAGAGAGAATTGACAAGACAGACTCCCCAAAACTCTTATCTAACTCTAAGTAACGATTCCTATTTATAGGAAAACAGTAAAGCATACAAAAAATACTAAGGCTAGCATTCAGCTTCGACTAAAAGGTGCATTAGTAAATACATAATGAAACTAACGAAAGCATCTATTACACAGATTTCGACATATTACAACATATTTTCGACCTTACACTTAAAAATTCAAAATTCTTAAATATTTAAACCTTTATATTTAACCTTTTTTTTATAAATTAACTCATGTAATACATGGGTCTGACAACTAGCTTTATAATATGACATTCTATTTAATTATTCTATAGATATATTAGGGTACATGTAATATCACCTTAGAAAATTAATTAATATAATGATAGATATGTACGATATGCACTTGTGAGAATTCTTCACTCTCACTCTTGCAATGCTCGTAACCATGTTGATATGCTTTCAAGACAGTTCAAGATACTTAAAACAAAATATTCATTAATTAAATAAGAAGGTATTAATTTTGCATAACACAATGAAACCTTTAGTAAAAAAAAACTCGGGTCTTTCGATTATTCGTTTGGTCATCATTCGTCTGGTCATCATCAAAACAAACAAAATTCATAATTAAATACGAAGAAAATATTTTTTGTATAATACAATGAAACCGCTTGTAAAATACTCAGTTCTTTCGATCATTCTTTTGGTCATCATTCATTTGGTTATCATCAAAACAAATATAATTCTTAATTAGTACTGCAACTCACATACATTTACAAAACTTCGCATTCAGTCTAAAAAGGAAACAATGGTTGCTTATATATCACTTTTCTAAATCATGTTTCCTTTATCTTAATAAAACATTATCGAAATAACATTTAATAAAAAAACCAAGCAATTGACATTATAAACTTGTTAATAAAAACAATATTGTTTCACTTAAGAGGTCTGTTAATACTTTATAATAGAATTATTTATTTCAAATGATGGAAAACGCAAGTTAGCCCGAGGTTTATGCCTAGTAGGACCGAATACATAGTACATATATGTGTTTTAAATCAAGAGAGAGACCATTCTCTCTTAAGCAACAATTTAAGCTCAGGAATGTGATTTTGAGGCAACGCTATGCTCATTGTTAACCCATCGGTTTGATCTTTTCGAGTTGGAAAAACCAACACAACACCTTCATCTCCAACATTATCAATAGCACAACTTACATAAACTGGTGTATTTCCTCTTATATCTAAATCATAGAGTGGGGTATCCTGTAAATCCACAAAAGTCAAATTTGCTCCATATATCAAAAAGTCCGGGAATCCACCATCAGATTCCATTGCTTCTTCGATATCCCTCCTCTCATCCACACCTTGATTCATAAGAAGCAACCCAAGTTCCATCAGACTGGATTCTTCCACAGAAGCATTTGTTTTTACCACCTTAATTGATTGAGCTTTGTTTGTGATAATCCCTTCGAATGGAATTTTTGATTCACGTTTGCATATTGTCACCATGTTCACTTCGGACCCGTGTTTAACCTTGGCTATACATTGCCAAACCACAGTGCAAATTGACTCGAAGGGTGGAATCTGTTGATGGTTTTTATCTCCGCATATCTTTGACTGCAAACGGGTTAACTCAGGCCAAGAAAGATAGAAAGAGTAAGTTTCAATTTTTGTGTCATTTGGAGTGGCCCACGTATCTCCAAGTGGGCCGACCCGTTTTATGGCAAGCAGATCCTGTAATGGGATTTTCGGGTTATGACCCTCATTGTTTGTATGAGCCATAGAAAGTGGTTTGGCGGGAAATTGTTGCCTAGTGGCTTGGCCCCATAGGTTAAGAAAGCCAGCGGCAGAAAAAGCATCTCCAAGTACATGAGCCCAACTTATTCCAACTGATGTCCCTCCACATGCAAACTTGGTTAACTGCATCATAATAACCATGCATGGTTAATTAAATTCATATTTATGTAACCACGTTTGGTGTTTTTCTTAACGTATAACAAAATGGGTTACTAAACGAAATATGCAACGGCATTCATTCTAGAGACAATATTTACAACATTGCAACCAACAAATCAGTTATCTCGGCCAAAAGTTTTAAGTAACAATGCTCACCGTTTTCACCAGTTTAAACAAAAATATTTCAGTTTTTATTTTTATGTTATTTGCATGAAATATAGAACTACGCCTAAACTGATTAGATAGCTAGGTTTAATAGAAATATGTATCGTTTGGTATAACATAAAATATCGTTAATTAAGTATTTCATATAAAAACTTAAAAGCTATTTTGTTATACATGAACCCGGAAAAAAGGTTTTTCACATAAATGCATATTTAACCTTAACATATAAGAGCGACGCTTTTTTGACTTTATAAGTTATATGTGTGAGTATCATTTGGATATTTTGTGTAATTGGAACTTACATGTGAGTTAAGGGGCTTCGTAATTTGTATATTAATACATGTTTGGGTATGTGCGGAGTGCCTAGTGGAAAAATCGAATTCTTGAGGGTGATTATGGTAAATCTGATTAAGATCGTCAGTTTTGGAAACCATTGATTTCCTCATTGATTCCGGATTTCCTTGATTTATTTCCAAAGATACCGATGACGGTCGACCCTAATACGAAACCTACATATCGTTTTCTATATAAACAACTATTCTTTTCAGAAGAAGGGATGACCTTTTAGCTCTCGTTTTTCTTCATAAAAACTCAGAATCTTCTAGCAATTTGACTTACGTTTTTATGCACAGATGCGTAATAGTCCTCTTGTGATTATCTTAGGTTGAGTTTCTTGTAACCCGGACATATGAGAGAAATATCAGTTCGGAAAGTGTTTACACAATGTAAAGGGTATCCAGATCTCCACTATAAACCTTACCTAATTTCTAACACATCAAACATTATTGGATTTTCAAAAGCTCCTATCTCTGTTATAAACATTAGGAAGATATAGGTGTCAACATCTAATAAACATGAAAAATATGTTTGAGGCGTAAAGATAACTACTTAAGATACGCGTCGTACTAATTTTGATTTGACTAACTATATTACCACACTTGTCACTAATTATATGGAATAACCCCATTACACGAAAACGACAACATGAAAGACTCAAAGAGATTATGAATATGATATTTTTAGACTAATCATACTCGATAGTGGAGATAGTAGCAATAAATGCATAGATAAAAGTTTCGCAAGCAAATGTAAGAGTAAGCATTTATTAGACGGTTTAAGTAGTTGAGTATTATGAGAACGACTGGCAGATCATAACTTGGACCCGTGTTTGGTTACAATTATATCATTTCTTTAACATACATTATATTATTATATTACTAGTTTGACTAAGACAGAAAAATATAAACTCAACCAGTTACTAGTATTCGATTTGATTCTCGGTTCTTATATTACAACTTATTTATTTTTTGATTTTATTTTCCGGTTCGAGTTGGTTTTGGTTCTAAACACCTTTTTAAATAGCACATTTTGTATTAGAACCGAACCGAAAAGGTACTGAACCGGAACTGAAACCGGTTGGAACCGGTTAGTTGTATTTGGTTCTTAATTTACGACTTATTCAATTTTCAATTTTTCAATTCTGGTGGGTTCGATCTGGTTTACATGCCTATGATGGAGTGATGTAGCAGTGAGTGGGTCTCGTGAATACCACACCCAGTGGGTGAGAAGGTGTGTGGTGAACCGTGAACCCTTGAGAGTAAAAGGTGATCATTTTTTATCGATGAAAGAAATGAACATATAATGAAGGTGATATTACGTGGCGTTGAATTGACGAAAAAAATTAAAAGAAATAATAGCTTACACCTTCAATATAAACAATATATTTAATAGGTATGTAAGTTATTATATTTTGATCTTATCAATAACAAGACCACTAATGGAGATTATAAAACATATGTTCTTTAAAAACTGTTTAAGATAGTGTATTCAAAAGTTTTTATTTTTTCACAGGGTTTTCAAATATTGAATTATATTTCATAATTTTTCTAAAGGTTTTATTATGTTTTATATTTGCCGTCATTTTTTTAAAGATATAATTTTAAATATATTCAAGATAATATTATACTCTCTCAAATCTTTTAGTTATATATGAGATACAATGCCACAAGCACACTACACATTAGGGGTGTTCAAGGTTCGGTTCGAAACTGTGAAACCGGTCAAACCGGACATCGGTTTGGTTTCACGGTTTGGATTTCTCTTTACGTTTTGACTTGTAGCTTCAAACTTTCGAAACCATAGTGAACGGTTTGGTTTGCGGTTATATATAATCTCAAATGTTTGATAGGGAAATAGTGTGCTTATTTGAATGGAAAAAGGAAATATGAATTGCAATTGTACTTTTATACCATCCCACGTCGACGAATGTAAGGAACATTGATGGTTTTGTTTTTATAAAATAAAAGTCATACGGTGTTGCTTCTTGTAGTTTTGTGGGACTTGCTTTTGCTTGGGTACCTACTAAAACTTGTTTATGTTGCTAGAGCTCTAGCCGAACCTAGAATTTTCTTTTTAAAGAAAATCCTGTTTTTTATCCGGTTCAACTTGTTTTTTATTGTTGTTTTTTTGTAATAGTCTAATGTGCTTGACTTAAATGATGCTAAAAAGCCCAAATTGTGAGACCAAACTGGAGCCAAACCGTTAGTATCGGTTCGGTTTGGTTCAGTTTTAAGTTTCAATCGTTCGGCTTCGGGTTTCGATTGGCAAAAAAATCGTTACTAACAGTTTTGCTTCGGTCTGACCTAAAAACTGAAAAAACCAGACCATGAACACCCCTACTACACAACTTGAATAGTAAATAATAAAAACTCAAGAGGCAAACCTGCATTAAAACTAGTGGAGAAAAAGGCAAGTCGGGACCAAGGACTTGGTTAGTGACAAGAAGCTTGTGTCGTGAGTCATCTTTTGACTCGAGCCACTCATCAAGGCTCATTTTGCATCGAGCCTCGATCAACCGAACCCCACAGTCATTGCACTTGATATAAGGTCTACCTGAGTCAGCCCTCCTTAAACGACCACAAGGGACAAAGGCATGGCATGTCCAATTGAACAAGGTTTCCTTAATGTTGATGATGGTTAACCCTTCGAATGCTGGGCTTCTGAAATAGTAAACGGTTTTGAGGTAGTGAAGCTTCATGGCCAAGTCCATGCCAGTTAGCTCTTGAACCACACCATGACCAGATACGCGCCCTGGTCCAACCGTAGAGATCTTGATGTCATAAATCAAGCTTTCATCTTTTGACAACACCATTTTTGTGTAGGTTGAAAAAAGAGTATGGATGAGAGATCTTGTATGTTGGGTTTGGTATGATGTGTGTGTGTGTATATATATAGACAAAACTGCCCACTTATCTGCCTTTTTACTCTAGTATTTTTAGGTGTTCATGGTTAATAATTCAAAGATATATAGATATGATTGATGGTGTACAGTTGTACCTTAAAAACTTATGGTACAAAAATTTGATTTACGTTAAAAACATACATACATACATGTTTCATATTACTAACCTGGTAATTAGTCAATGATTTTAAGTTTTAAAAATGCTACATTTAGAGGGGAAATGTTATAAAAAGGACGTCAGGCGGTGTCAACCGCTAAAATGTTAAAAGGATAATATAAAATAAGTTAAATTTTGGAAAAAGATTATGCTTAAAAAACGTTAAATAGGAAAACCTGAAAGAAAAAAAAATATGCGAAGACAATTATCATAAGTAGAAAACATGCAATTCTTAAGATAAAATGAAATAGAAAGCGTATTATGCTTTTGGACATACGACAGTATTATTTGCGATAATAATTACTACTTGAATTTGGTAATTATGAATTTGTATTGCAAGATTTTATTTTATCTGTTATGAGTTTAAAAAATTATGATTAATTGTTTATTTAAAAAGATAGATCGTTTATCTGATTAAATGCTACAAGACGAAACGAATATTGTATTAGTTGACCAATCTGTCATTTCAAAAATTGAGTTTTTTTCATAAAAGCGAACTATTATTAATAGAGACGGATTTTGAAATATTATGGGGCATATATGTTTTAGATCAGGTCAAAATAATCGGTTAGGTATAGCTGTCTTTTCTATTTTAATTTATTGTTTTGTTTTTTTAAGAGCAACTTCAGCAACCAAAAATTATAAATGAGTTATAGCCAAAAGAACATTTTACATCCAACTTTCCCGGTTTATTTTAAACTTTTTCCTTTTATTACACGTCCAAAAACAAAGGAAAAAAATGATAATATCATTAAAAATATCCGTTTTTTAAGGTCAAGTGGTTCCACCAAGTCTCAACCTGACTCCAAATAGCAACAATACATGGGCAATTAGGCTCGACTAGAATGGACTCACCACCCCTCTTACCAAGCAATTTGTTAAATATCAAACACCATTTCTTATGACTGGTTAAAGAGGTGTTAAAAATGGGTCGCCAAACAAGTAACGAGAGGAGAAATGAGAGAGAAAATATATTGGTGGATTATGATTGGTTTATAGCTATTGTTTTCTTTTTTTTTCTTTTTTTCCTTCAAAATAAACCATATTAATTTAAAACACCACCACTCCTTATGAAATGCTAAGAAAAAACATGCTAGTGAGTTGGCACCAAAAAAATGATGTGGCACCACAAAAAATGATGTGGCGGTATGCTAAGGGTGTTGCCACTCCCTTCAGCCTTAACAAACATATGTTCTACTACTATCCCACAAAGAACAAGGAAGAGTATCCATATCAATACAGTTATCGGGAAGGTCCGCCCGTATAGAAATTACTACTATCTCACAAAGGACAAAGAAGATGATCCATATCAATACAGTTGTCGGGAAGGTTCACTCGTATAGAAATTCCTTTTAAAAGAAATTCACCAAAGTAGAATGTCCAGCAATGTCCAGCTTAGCTTTATAGGAACATAGTTACTCCACTTAGTTTGAACATGGTAATAACTATTTGGTTAAAAAATAGCTTCAAAAACTAAAATATAGAAATGGAAGCATTTTAAATTTTGAATAATATATACAAGTTTATACACACTAAAGATATCTTGCAAACAAATAAAAGATTAAAACAATCATAGAGGAAAAAAGATAACTACTTGCGATTAGCATAAAGAAACCAATATTACCAAAATGGGTAAGGGACTTTGGTTTTAATCCACATTTAAGCAACCATATTATTTTTGTACACATTTGACTAATAAACTTGTTTGATGTGCTCATAATAGGGTAATCAACCATATAACTTTTTGAACAAGTCAAAATAGGTAAATGGTCAAACATATATGAAAAAAAAGCATGATTACCTAAATTTGGACAAAAACCAAAGTTCGTTACCATTTTGGGTCATTAACAATACTTTCAACCTCCATAATAACTATTGGGTTTTTATTTGAAAATAGTTTCAAAAATTCCAAGATAACAATTAAAAAAGTTTTACTCCCTCCGTCCCAAATTGATAGTCCACTTTTGACTTTTGAAGTCTTTTTTCTTCAACTTTGACCTTAAATATTTTTATTTGTGTTATATATTACTTGATAAAACTTATAACAATGAAAAAACATTTAAAATACAATCCATTCATATATTTTGCATCAAATACTATCTATCAAACACAAAAATATTTAAGGTCAAAGTTTAAGAAAAAAGACTTCAAAAGTCAAAAGTGGACTATCAATTTAGGACGGAGGCAGTAATTTTGAATAACATAAACAAGTTTATACCCACCAAGTATCCTCTTGCAAACAAATGAAAGAAAAAAAATCATAAAGGAAAAAAGATAGCAACCTTTCTTCACTCTGAGTCCTCAAACGAAGGCTTGGATGTTGACGAAGAATGTAGAGTACAAAGAAGAACTCCTCCAAATTGTGACACCAATAATAACCAACTAGATAAGATGCTAGTGTTTTACTCTTAAGCTTTAAGTTAAAACTATGTAATTATTTAATGAGGGTTTTAGGAAAGTATTCCACTAACACTTTAGCAAGGGAGAATAAGAGAAAACAAGAAGATATCCACAACAATAGGTGAACCAAATAAGTGTCAAGTGAAAGCATTAAAACCTTTTCTTATTACACATTAGGCCTTAACCCTTTCAGTCATGTCATGCCTCTTAATTATATTTTAATGTCATGCTTGTATAGCATGTGCCCCATACTAAAATAAGCAAAAGGTCGTTCTTCTTTTTATCTAGCAAGTCATGGTTATATATATATATATATATATATATATATATATATATATATATATATATATAAGAATAGTATTTTTTTTTATAAATTCCTTCTTATTCTTTATGTCTTATAAAGCCTTATCCATTTCTCTAAAAGACAAAAGTTTTTCTATTCCCAAAAGATATGCATGCCTTAATAAATCATTCCTTATGATATACTATGATACTTGATATTGACATTTATTATTTTAATAAGATAAATAATTTTCAATTATTTATAAGAGTTATGAATAGTTATTAAGAATGAAATTCTTATAAATAATCTATCTATTTGTATCAAGTTGTTGTTAGTGTGACCCTTTAGGATTATAAGTTATTAGTAATATGATTCTGATATAACTCCTGATCATAAAGATCTTTTAATCTCCCACTTAGACCAGACTCGTCATAGATTGATAAAGAAAGATATGAAAGTCTAGCGACATTTCATTTCCCCTAATAACACATGCAAAAGTTCCATTCCGTCAACTACAAACTCCCTAAGAGATCACAAATTCAACTTATGTATAAATTAAGTTATCAGTTATCCCTTTTTCACAGACATCATGTTGAGCAGACTGCAATCAATATCATTTCGTGTTCAACTTTTGATAAGATGCCTTAGATGTCTAACTCTCCACACATAAGAGGAACAAATCACATCTTGACTACATACGCCTCTCCTATAGTTTATACTATACCTAATATTAGTCATTATAATTGTTTGGTTAAAGAAAAATATTTGACCATATCAAAGTATATAATTCCCTAAACTCAAGTCCCAAATATGTATCTCAAGTATTAAGGATACAAATATATTTCATTTATCAAGTATCAATTATGATAATGATCCATGAAGTGATCTAGAACGAGTTAGGTCCAATACTTGTTCTCTAATAAGCACCTATGACCCTGGTTATGAAAATTTGTTAACCAATCCAATTCATATTAGTCTTACTTCATTAATGTTCTCAAAACAACGAACAACTATGAATATCTAAAATAATTAAATCACTCAAGGATTAAACATGTGAATATATAAGACAACAATTATTTAATGAAAAGATCATATTCTATATATATCATAATCATTACGATAGTTGATGGTTATAACATCCCAATATTAAAAACTAAATCAAGATCAAATCCTATCACTAAAATAGAAATGTCATATCCCTCTAGCATGACCCTCATGTTTAACTTATGGAAGAGACTTTGTGAATGGTTCAACCAAGTTTTGATCTATGCGTTCTTTGCGAAGACAAATATCCTCACTTCTAACTTCATCACAAATGTAGTTGAACCAGGAGGTGATTGTGCTTGGTCCTCTAATGTGACTTGGGTTCCTTTCCTAACGTAATGACACCCTTATTATCACAGTAGATCCCCTGGGGATCCTGAATGGAAGGAACAACCCCAAGATTCTCAATGAATTTCTTCATCTAAGTAGCTTCCTTTGCAGCTTCCGAAGCAACAATATATTCTGATTATGTAGTGGAGTATGCTACAACCCTCTTCTTAAAACTCTTCTATGAAACCGTACCTCCATTGATAATGAATACATACCCTAATTGTTACTTACAATCATCCTAATTTGTTTGGAAGCATCTATGTAACACTTTACACCAAACTTCCATAAACAAGGAATATATCATCTTTAGTTTTTATTAAGTACTTTAGAATGTTCTTTACAGCCATCCAATGACTTTTTCCTTGATTTTGTTTGTATCTGCACGTCATGCCCAAAGCACAAGATACATCAGGTCTAGTTCATAACATTACATACATGATGGATCCAATATTTGAAGCATATGGAACGCCATTCCTCTTCTCTAGCTCATCTTTTTTACTAGGACTTTGAGATGAACTCAAAATCATAACATTTCTCATTTTCACGAACCCTTTCTTAGAGTATTCTATCTTGCACTTCTTCAAGAATTGTCAACATATGCACTTTGACTTAAGCCTATTAATCGCGTTGATCTATCTCTATATTTCTTAATCCAAAGAATATAAGTAGCCTCTCCTAAATCTTTCAATGAGAAGCACTTTTGGAGCCAAGACTTATGTCATCTACAAACTAAACTAGGAATGTCATTGTACTCCCACTAGTATTCTTGTAAAAACAAGTGCCATCTTCG